TTGGAAAATTGCTAGTAGAAAGACACAGATGAAAAATGAAGTGAAGGTGAGGTGAGAGAATGTCAGCACAAGAAGAGAGAAAGGAAGAAGGAATTCCATCAATACCAACAGTAGACTTTTTATCCAATTTCTGAAGTAATCGCTCGACATCCCGTATGGAAAAGTCGAGGTGTTTATCCATCGTTGGCAAGTCTGAAGTGGTAAAAGGAGGAATTTGCCCCTGAAGAGAAGAATAACAAGAGGAAAAGTGAGAATTGAAGAGTTCGCTTTATCCGCATCTGTGGAAACAGATTTGGAGCCTAGAAACAGAGACTGAGGTACAGTGGAGTAAGAAGAGGATAGTTTCTTGATAGAGCTCCAAAACTTGCGAGGATCAGAAAATAAAGAAGAGAGAGATCGGAAGTAAGAAGATTTTTCACGTCGATAGAGGGAAAGAACAAGATTTCTTGCCTTACGGAACTCAGCAAGGTTAAAAGAAGTATAACGGCGTTTTAGTTTACAAAAACGCTGGTTACGGATAGAGATAAGATGTGCAAGTTTTGGAGAAGGCTAGAGAACAGAAGATAGAGTATGAACTGGTACCAGTGGGACGAATCTACGGATGGCATCGTTTACGTGCTCAGTCCAAACGTGGACGGCTGTATCAGCATCGGTAGCCGTATAAAGGCCATGAGGTATAAGAGGGAGAACACGCCGTAGTTCAGGCCACCGGGCTTTTGTAAAGTCATAACGATAAGAAGTAGAAGAAAAAAGAGGTTGAACAGGTACATCAAAAGTAGCAGATAAACAGAAATGAGGAGAACAGGGGGAAAATAAGAGAAAGAAACATTGTTCCAGGAAGAAGGATAAAATATATAGTCAATACACGTATTTGAAGTAGCAGTGACAGAAAAATCAACAAGAGAACACAGAAAAGAAGAGAGACTTTGAACATTGTACATTTTGGAAGACACATGAAAATTAAGGTTAAGATCAGCACACAACAAGAGGTTAGAAGAGATAGAGAAATAGTTAGAAACTTTAGTTAGGATTTCGGGACGATTCATTTGTTATTATGAACTGATCGGTGTTCTTCAGACGTTCTTATATTTATTATAGAACTGACGTCAATTTCTCTAAATGAATACAACCAGAAAATGAAAGTAGTAGTGACACTATGAAAGCTATAAGACATTGGCGTCATCTGTCTCTTATTCGTTAAGTTAAAAGTTATGCCTGTTTTTATTGGATGAAATTTAGGCTCTTTGTCTGCGAAAAAAAGGACACACTTATGTTTGACAGCAGACAACAACTGCGGTTCAACAGCATCGAATTATCAACTTTACTCATGTATACTTCTCTCTTTATCAGTGTCAAATGCAAGCTACCACTAACATTAGATGTCTTGCACGTTTTTGGCGCACACTTAAATTTACTTTTAGCAAATAAAGTCTAGAAATACAAACGCGGAAGTAAATTGTCACTATTCTAATTGTGACGAATTCTTCAGTAGTGGAGCTTTTGCTATGCTTTTTTTTGTTTTTCTTGTTCATATTATTTATTGTCATCGTTTTAAAGCCAAACTTTTGCTGTAATGTTTCACTCTTTCTCATCTCCACCAACTCGAATTAGTGAATTTATTTTTTATTAGTATTAGTGTGCTTGATCACTGGGAGTCTATTTTTAAATCGAGCTTTGGATAGATTCAGTGATTTTCTTATGTATTTTAGACCATTTTTTTTTGTCTCTACAAATGGCAGCAAATAATTCTTTGCCACTCGGCTCATTATTACAGCCGATAGATACAGAAGATTATACATTGTATTTACAACAACAAGTTGATAATTGTAAAAAATCTGTTAAAGAAAATATTGTAGAGTTTAGTGAACTTAGCTTTGAAAAAATCAGTTTACCAGCTGATAATGAAGAAAATAATAATAAAAACACGTTGGACGATTTTATTGTTTTGTAAGTCAGAGTGTCTTTTGATTAAGATTATAAAGGTATTTGAATTCTATTTTATTTTCTAGCATGAAAAAAATATGGTCGTTTGATGGAAATGTAAGAACAACTTGAAAACTAACGACATATTTTATTTCCTTTTTTTTCTTCCGATTTAGTCCTTCAACGAAGAAGAATGTCGCGAAGCTCTTTCAAAACAAGTTTTGACTAATACTACCACTGCTGACGATCAACAAAAAAAGTTAGTGTCGGTGATAAGTCTTTTTCTTTCAATCATTTTTCTTAATTTTCACAGAGATGAGCACAAACATAAGACTGTTATCACTATTCGTTCATCAAGTGTGGCAGCTGTTAATCATCTTTCTCCAATGACAAATTTAAATCGTACACGATTGGTTCCACCATTTGATCCTGTTTTAAGCTCAACGCCAAAAATGGTAAGTGATTTCGCTTTTTACATTGACTAAAATATCGAGATTTGGTTTGTTTTCAGCCCGTACGTCCAACTATTCCAATTACAATCGATGTTTCAAGTAAATTTCGTCCTTCGAAATAAATTTTGATGTTCGATTAATCGAATATTCTTTATTTTTCAGTCAGATCACCTCCTCCACCTCCACTGCCACCATTATCACTTTCCTCGATACCGCAAGTAGTCGAATCAAACGTAAGTAAAAAAATGAGTGTATACTTTGTGTTAGAAGAGTTTACTTTTCGCAGTTAAAGAAAATGATCACTTATATGTTAGTAACGGATGCGGCAGCGTTAATGACTCTCTAGGTATTTCTCTCTTCTTGTGCTGACATTCTCTCACCTCACCTTCACTTCATTTTTCATCTGTGTCTTTCTACTAGCAATTTTCCAACTTTATGGAAAACTGCATTCATTGCACCTGTTCATAAAAAAGGCG